ACTTCCGTTTATCTTAGTCATCGTTCGCAACTTCTGGGTGAGTGTAATAGTGACTCTTAGTCATCGCAAAGAACATCTTGATGGGTAAGCACATTTGAAAGACCAACCTTTGGGATAGCAGCTCTTGAACTTTTCTGACTGGAATGTGTTCTGCCTCTGGTAAGCTTTGCTGAGTCCTTAATTTAAAGGCTGACATGTTAAAAACAATCTTTGCAATAAAGCTGAATAAGAAGAATATGAGGTAAGTGTGCCGGTTTATCTGCCTGTTCTAGGTACACTATCATGTAGGCTTCTTCCCATTTCAAAGGTCAGTCCATATTCTGTGGACTAAGACTTTCTAATCTGTCACTGTTTAGAACAGTATGCAGGTTCCCACTGAGTCTGAAACACAGGTGAATCATCATAAACACTTTATTGACAGTACGTTACAGCACATGGCCCCCTGTGGTTAGCAACGCACATAAATGGTAGTTGATAAACCCACAGTTAGTAGTGGTAAGAAATTCATAAATGAGGGTCAAGGAGAGTCCTGGGTTTTATTTCATACTCTGAGGCCAGAAATTTGACACTTGAGCTCATCATTTTTTTGCAGCAATCACAGACAGTGGTCCTTCAATTCCTCGTTCTTTTTCTTTTTCCTCTGGTTTTCTTGAGTCTACTCACTTGGAATATGAAATGTGGCAGGAGCTACTTCGCTTTGAAGAGTGTTAACCACATGGTCCCGGGTCACCGTGGGCCATACTTTGAAGAACTGTTTGGACACTGTGTGTCGTGGCCTCTTACTTTCCTGAAAACCGATCCTGTACACCGCATAGCTCGCAAGGATGTCTTGTCGGTAGCCATTCTTTGGTACCAAGCTCTCTTGGTTATAGTTGTTGGGGTGCAAACAAGTGCTACTTGCCGGCCATTTTGCTAGTTATTTTGTGCAAATAAGTTCAAATCTGTCTACTAGGAGTTCAATAATAGTGCTGTATCAGAACCATGGAATCGACATTGGTACAAAGTGTGAGTGTAGTTCTGTGCCATTTTGTCATGTGTCCTTGGCGACCACTAATCTGTTCTCCCTTTCTATAATTTTGTGATCTCAAAAATGTGATAGAAACGGACTCATAATATGCCTTTGAGATCCATCCCAAGTTCCCTTTTTATTGCTGAGAAGTGACTTCATCTGTTCAACTAATCACCAATAACTTTATAGCCATTCTGATTGTTTCCAAGCTTTAGCTATTGGGAATAAGTTGTTATGAACCTCCACATAGAAGTTTTGTGTGAACATTTCTCTCAGGGTGCTGTTGCTGGACTGGGTCCTGTTGCTGGGCTGTAAGATACTTGTTGTTTTTTAAAAGACTTTATTTACTTCTTTGTCAGAGAGAAGGAGAGAGTGAGAGAGAGAGAGAGAGAGAGCACAAACAGAGGGAGGGGAAGGGCAGAGGGAGAAGCAGGCTCCTGGTGGAGCAGAGAGGCGGCTTCTCCCTCTGCCTTTGCCTGTCTGTCTCTCATAAAATCGTAGAAAGTACCTAACTCTCTTCCCAAATGGCCATGCCATTTGACATTCCCACCAGGAAGGATGAGAGATTCAGTTTCTTCGCATCCTCACCTGCATTTAGTGTTGTCATGGCTTTTATCTTCGCTATTATGATAGGCGTGTGGTGGGATCTCATTGTGGTTATAGTTTGCATTTCTCCCTGATGGCCGTCCTTCCTTCCTTATCCTCTTCAGTGATACCTCTTCCGGTCTTTTGCCTATTTTTTAAAAAGATTTACTTACACATTTGAGAGAGAGTGAGCAGGTGTATGCGAGTTGGGTTGGGCAGAGGGAGAGAGAGAATCCCAAGCAGGCTCCACCTCCAGCTCGGAACCCTATGTGGGCTGACCCCAGGACCCCGAAATTATGACCTGAGCCAAAATCAAGAGCCCAGTGCCCAACCCACTGAGCCACCCACAGGATCCCGGTCTTTTGCCCATTTTTAAATTAGATGGGTTTTTTTTTTTTAAGTTTTTATTTAATTCCAATTAGTTAACATACAGTGTAATATTAGTTTCAGGTATACAGTGTAGTGATTGAACACTTCCATACATCACCTGGTGCTCATCACCTTCATCCCCATCACCTAGTTCACCCATCCCCCACCCACTTCCCCTGGGGGAACCATCAGTGCGTTCTCTATAGCTTTTCTTTTCTTCAAGTTTTCTATTTAAATTCCAGTTAACATACAGTGTACTGTTAGTTTCAGGTATAGAATTAGATGGTTTTTAGTGTTGAGCATTGAGCATTCTTTTTTCTTATTTTTTAAGATTGTATTTATTTATCTGAGAGAGTGAGAGAATCTTTTTTTTTTTTCTAAAGATTTTATTTATTTGACAGAGGGAGACACAGTGAGAGAGGGAACACAAGCAGAGGGAGTGGGAGAGGGAGAAGCAGGCTTCCCACAGAGCAGAGAGCCCGATGCGGGGCTCGATCCCAGGACCCTGGGATCATGACCCGAGCCGAAGGCAGACGCTTAACGACGGAGCCACCCAGGCGCCCCTGTGGTTGTAATTATTATTACTATTGTTGTTTTATTGATTTTCATCTAACTGACACTGAGCCAACCAGGCGTCCTGAGCATTCTTTATATATTCTAGATTCTAGTCTTTTGTTGGGTGTTTGGTTTGTAAATGTTTCCTCTCATTCTGTAGTTTGTCTTTTCATCCTCCTCACACAGGCTTTCACTGAGCAGAAGTTTTTAATTTTTAAGAGGTCCAAATTATCAACTTTTCCCCTTATGGATCCTGCATTTGGTGTCGGGTATAAGAACTCATTGTCTAGCCCTAAATCCCGATGACTGTCTGCGATGTTGTTTTTCTAAAAAGTGTTAAGAGTTTTACACTTTACATGTCGGTCCGTGACCCATTGTAAAGGTGTGAGGTTTAGGTCGGTGGAGTTTCGGTGTAGCGCCGTTTATTGAAACGACTACCCTTCCTCCATCGAATTGTTTTTACACCTTTGTCAAAATCACCTGGGCGTATCTGTGTGGGTCTATCTCTGGGTTCTCTATTCTGTCTATACCACACAGTCTTTATTACTTGCAACTATATAAGTCGTGCAGGTGTGTAGACTGATTCCTCGTACTTTCTTCCTTTTCAAAATTTTTCGGCTATTCAAGGGCGTGTGCCTTTTATAACATACATGGTTTTTTTTAAAAGTCATCCAGAGGTACGTTTAACGTAGCCCAGATGGATCAGGTGCATGAAGCCAGTTGTGTGTAAGAAAAATAACATCTATTTATCCGGACCCGCCCCCGCCCGGACCCTGAGGCTGAACCCAGAAGGGCTATAGCACGTTAAATAACATCTCAGGTACAGGGGAATCAGCAGGAGTAGGAAGTGAGCTGGAGAGCACGTGGCCACCTGCAGGGCACAGCCACCCTCAGCCATGTGAGCAGTGCCAGGTCTTCTGAAATTTCTAAAGAGAGCTTAGAATCTTCTGGGTTTTACTAAATTAAAGTATGTGGTCAAAATAAAACAGACTTGTGAGCTATCCATTTACAATTTCTGCTTTAAATTATACCATTATTCATGTAGCATCCCACTCACTGTAGAGAATACATCTTGCCTCCCCACTTTGTAAGGTGACCAGATCAGTGGCCCCTTCCCTTCATTTCCTTTCTCCTGTCAACTTCTGTCATGGTGTTGACATATACAATGTGTTCTTCAACTATGACTGCTTCATATCTTGTTTATAGGTAGATTCTGAAAAGGGGAAGTCAGTAAATGGTTTTTATATTATTATAACTGACTGCCGACCCAACAGCTTTATCCCATTTCTCCCTGATTTTTTTTTTTTAAGATTTTATTTATTTATTTGAGAGAGAAAGCGTGACAGAGAGAAAGAGCACAAGCAGGGGGAGCAGCAGAGGGAGAAGCAGGCTTCCCGCGGAGCAGGGAGCCCGATGCGGGGCTCGATCCCAGGACTCTGGGATCATGGCCTGAGCCGAAGGCAGACATTTAACCGACTGAGCCACCCACTTCTCCCTGATCTTGTTTGGGATGGCAGGATGCCCAACTCGGTTCTTCTTTTCTTTTTTTTTTTTTTTAAGATTTTATTTATTTATTTGAGAGAGAGAGAATGAGAGACAGAGAGCATGAGAGGGAAGAAGAAGGTCAGAGGGAGAAGCAGACTCCCTGCCGAGCAGGGAGCCCGATGCAGGACTCGATCCTGGGACTCCAGGACCATGACCTGAGCCGAAGGCAGTCGCTTAACCAACTGAGCCACCCAGGCGCCCTCAGTTCTTATTTTCTGAGCTCCTTTGGCAGCCCGGGACAGCTGCGCTGTGCAGCTCTGGCTGAGGAGACATGAATAGATGTCCACTGGCCTGGTCCTCCTTCCTGCCTTGAAAGTGGAGCGTTTGGGGAGCTATTTTCACCTCAAGCCTCATTTCTTTCATTTTCTGTGCAGGGACTCCTGAGCCCCAGCCCGTTGTGGTCTGCTGGACGGCACAGTCTTCCATGGCTGATTCTACTATGAGCAGGTTCCCAGCTCTGCTGTCCCAACTCTGCTCGATCTATGACCATTTCCCTATCTCCTTTCCATCTTCTAGAAAGTTATTAATATCTGTCATCCCTGAAGACTTCCTCGTGTTTTCTTTTTTTGTGGGTTTCTTCTTCCCTTCCCCCTTTTCCCCTTTCTTTCATTTACACAGGCTGCCAACTTGAACCTGAATCACAGTCACTTAGGACAAATTTTATCTTGCCAGAATAGAAAGCATTGTGCTTTGTAGCACTTTTGGGAATAATAGGTTTTCATTTGCCTGTATAGAAATGAATTAAAAATGAAGGGATGCGTGTGTGCACCATTAATATTTCTGCAGCAAACTGGATAAACATGTCTATTAAGTTGGATAATAACGTTTACAAATAGCCTCACATCAGAGCCTTTTAGATTTTAGAACTGCGGTTACAGCCTGACGGCAGGCTTCTGCTGCCTCCCTTATTCATTGCTTTGTTGTTTTGACCTGACAGGCTGTGTCACACCAGGTGAATGCCGTGACCGAGGACATGTACACCAATGGTTCTGCTGCCCCAGGGAGCCCTACCCCGGCCAAAGGGCAGGAGGTACGGAAGGTGCGACTCATACAGTTCGAGAAGGTCACAGAAGAGCCCATGGTAATCCCTTATCATATTCTAACCTCCTGCTTACTCCTGACCCCTTGAGTCCCTGGCTCTCATCCCTCCCTCAGGTCTCTCCTTCCGGCAGCTTTGACGCCCATTCTAGTTGAGTACCACCCAGGTACAGATGAAAAAATCTTTCTCCTAAGAAATCACCTTAAATTATCCTAAAGATGATAACCGCAGAAAGAGCTGAAAATACAGCTGACTGTGCCTTTTGTCTTCATTGCAGGGAATCACTCTGAAGCTGAATGAAAAGCAGTCCTGTACAGTGGCAAGGATTCTTCATGGTGGCATGATTCATAGACAAGGTACTCTGGGGGGCTCCTAGGTTGTGTTTCACTCAGGGATTAATCATTTACTTCCTATTCAGTGGTGAGGGTCAGGAAGCTTACAATCTTAAACCCAGGAGCATTTTTGTGTATATGGCAAGAGATTTTCTGGGGCTTAATAACTGGCTCTTTGTATGAATTGCCCAGTGCCACCATCTCTCCCTCCTGAGCGTTCTTACACACCTATTTATACCAATATTTTTACAGTTAATATTTGAGCAATTAGATATATGCAACCCACTGCATTAGACTTTGAATATGTTACAGTGAAGGAAACAGACCATCTCTACTCCCTGGAGCTAACAATTAAACTGAGAAAATACACATTAAACAAATAATTACAGGTAACTGTTGTATCTTCTTAATGTGAAGGTGCCGTCAATTTTCAGATGCATCATTTAGTAAGAGCTGTTTGTGGCGGGAGATGGGGTGAGAGAACATTAAAATATGACATGTTTTTAGTAGCTGACGATAACCTGTATTTGCCCACCTGATTCATTCCATGCTGTGAGCCCTACCCTTTTATGTTTAGTTGGGACTTTTTTTTTGTATCTAGGGTGGCACAAATATTTGTAACTACTTTTCACATAGAATCTAACCATTGATTAACTGTACCATTAGGTGGCATTTGTGGGTTTATCTAAACAACAAAGAAACATTACACTTGCTGTGGATGTGGTGCTTTTATTCTGCTTGGTCAACGAAACTGTCAAGTGCTGGCCTTGGTACATTCCCTTCTCCCGTGGAATATGAACATGCTCTAGGTCATGCTTTCTTTTCTGTGGTGTCTTGATTTCTATTGACAGCTCTTGTTTTAATGTTTATTCTTTGTGGACTGATTTATCATTTTGTGGTAGGCTCCCTTCACGTCGGGGATGAGATCCTAGAAATCAATGGCACAAATGTGACTAATCACTCAGTAGATCAGCTGCAGAAGGCGATGGTGGGTATTTTCCATGCCATTATCTTTGTGAAGTGTGGATGCACATTGGTGTCAGTGTATGTCATTTTTCTGTCAAGTCTTTATACCTCATTGAGGGGACTCTTACCACTGCTAATCTTTATTCTGTGCAAGCAATGACAGTTCTCTATTTTCATCTAGCAAATTTCTAAAATAAGGCGAATAACCCAGAGTATCTATCTAGAAAGAACATTGGACTGGGTGTCAGAAAGCGTTGGTCTTTAATGGCAGCTCTGAAACCCTGCTCTACTTCATTCTAGCCATGATTTTGAACAGGTGAATTAATTTCTCTAAGTCATCTGTAAAATGAAGATAGGAATCCCTATTCATAGATTTGTTATGAAGAGTGGATGGGATATTATAAATGAAAAGTTGAGGGGCGCCCCGCGGGCTCAGTCAGAAGAGCATGTGACTCTTGATCTCGGGGTTGTGAGTTTGAGCCCCACGTTGGGCATAGAGCTTACTTTAAAAAAAAAAACTGAAAAAACTCCATATGGGGCAGTTGGCCAGAATGTGGCTTTTCACTTGAGACAGAGATAAGGAGACTGAACCTTGGAGAGTTTTGAAACTTGCCCATGGTCACATGGCTGTTAAACGATAGACCTGGGATTTGCTTTAATCAAAAGTCCTCGTGGGGTGCCTGGCTGGCTCAGTGGGTGGAGCATGTGACTCTATATCAGGGTTGTGAGTTCAAGCCCCACTTTGGGTGTGCAGATTACTTAAAAATAAAATCTTTAAAAAAAAAAAAAAAGCCCTTGGGAGGTGCCTGGCTGACTCAGTCTGAAAAGCATGCAACTCTTAATCTTGGGGTAGTGAGTTCAAGCCCCACGTTGGTTGTAGAGTGTATCTAAACAAACAAACAAAAACAAAAAACAAAGCCCCCGCTGGACTTCTGCTTCTGGCTAAATGAAGTAACAGGGACCAGATTTACCCTGCCTTTTGAAACAACCAAAATCCAAACATCCGTGTACCTAATGAAAGAGCTTCAAAATACTTGAAGCAAAAACTGGTAGAACTGCAAGGAGAAAAAGACAAATCCACAATTATAGTCCAAGATTTCAATCTCTCTCTCAATAATCAACAGAACAAGTAGCAAGAAAATCAGTGAGGATATAGAAGCTGCAAAGAACCCTACAGTGCTACTGTCATAAGAGGAGGAACAGGTAGAAGAGTCTTAAAAGATATATCAACCAGTTACAGGGTATGGACTTCATTTCCCCAAGGTAGAATTGCTGGATCCTATGATAGTTCTATTTTTAATTCTTAAAAAAGATTTTATTTATTTATTTGACAGAGACAAGCAGGGGAAGCAGAAGGCTCCCCGCTGAGCAGGGAGACCCATGCAGGCTGATCCCAGAACCCTGGGATCATGACCTGAGCCGAAGGCAGGTGCCCAACCAAATGAGCAGGGTAATCTCTTTATTCTAAGAGGAAAATGGGCAAAGCAAATGAAGAGATAATTCAGGTGTCCCATTCTCCCTCTGCCCATCACCCTGCTCATGCGCACTCTCTCTTTGGCAAATAAATAAATAAAATCTTTAAAAAAAAAATAAAGGATGTCTATTGCAGCAGATGATAGTGAAAAAAAATTGGCAACAGTCGACATGCCCAGTAATGAGGAGTATGGTAGAACATGAATAACATGTTCTATAGAGTATAATCCCATTTTTGTTAAAAGCAAACAAAAATACATATGAATATGGATATATGTGTAAATATTTGGAAATGTTTTATTTCGTGTCAAGAAAGGTATGGGTATATATGTGCCAGGGTTCCTTTAGGTTCATCTGGAGACCTTTTAGGGTTGAGTGTGGGGAGGAGGGAAAATTATTAGCTTTTTCTTCATTATTCTTTGTGCATCTCCATGTTCTTACACTGGTTTATGGGGCACATGAGACTTTGATATCGAAGGAGGAATTGTCCTAAAAATTTCAAAGTGTGCAGTAAAGATGGGTATTGGGGAAAAAAAAACACTTTTTGGGGACTTTGAGAGGGGAAATAAGACTTTATGAAACCCCAGATCCATCTATTATATATCCATTATAATTTCTTTTTTAATAGAAAGAAACCAAAGGAATGATCTCATTAAAAGTAATTCCCAACCAGCAAAATCGTCTTCCTGCACTACAGGTAGGTGACACCATTTTCTCTGTTGTGTTCTTTGATATTCAATTGAAATGACATGATTTTAGTTTTAAGTTCTCAGTATATCACGAGTGTAGCTGCCTGGTGCTCTCTGAACTAAATCAACATCCATTACAAACAGGCAGTCCTTCTTTCTTTTTTTTTTTTTTTATTATTTATTTATTCATGAGAGACAGAGAGAGACAGAGAGAGAGAGAGGCAGAGGAAGAAGCAGGCTCCCAAGGAGCAAGGAGCCCCATGCGGGACTCGATCCCAGGACTCTGGGATCATGACCTGAGCCGAAGGCAGACGCTTAACCATCTGAGCCACCCAGGCGCCCCAGGCAGTCCTTCTTTCTGAGTTGCTTGTTTGTAACCGATGTGAAAGGAAAGGGTAATCTCTTTATTCTAAGAGGAAAATGGGCAAAGCAAATGAAGAGATAATTCACAGGAGGAAAAATACAACTGGACATCGAACATATGAAAAAATAGCCAATTTTACCAGTCATCAAAGAAACACAAAATAAAATGTGTGCAGTATCATTTTTCACCAGCAAATTGGCAATTATTTTTTAAAACAATAATAGCCCAGTGATTAATAGTAGCCAATAATAATAGCCAAAGGGAAGAAAGAGTCTTAAGAGCACTTATTCAAAATTCACTGAGACTTTACCTTGTACACATCACTTCGCTAGAAACTGGAGGTGATATAAAGAGAAATGGGTCCATTCCCAGTCCACAGACAGCTCATCATCGGTACAGGAGAGAAAGTGTTTGGATAGGGCCTTGGCAGATGAATGTATGCAAAAGTTTCTAGTGCAGGTCGTTTATGTTATTATGGCAAAATTTTCTTTTTAAGCAAACTTTTTAAATTGAAGTTTGGGTATATGTGGGTGTATGTATATATTATAAAATACACAAATCATAAGTATAAAACTAGAATGATTTTCACAAACTGAACCTACCCATTTAACCAGCACCCAGCTCCAGAGACAGAACATGGCTAAGAACCCCTGTGACCTGTTTCCAGTTACCATAACCCTAACTTCTAACATCAGAGACAGGTGTTGCCCCTTTTTGAAATTGGTGTAAATTGAATCATACACCATGAATTCTTTTATTTCTCATTTCGTTCACTCAGTATTATGTCTTCTTGTTCATTTGCCCAGTTGCCCCAGACCCTCACCAGTACTTTTTCTTCATTTTGGCCATTGTGGTTTTGATTTGCGTTTCTCCGAGGACTAATTAGAGTAAGCTCCTTTTTTTTTTTTATGTTTTTCTCCATTTGGATGCCCTCCTTTATGAAGTACCCATTCAAGGCATTTTCTTACTGATTTGTAGGAGCTCTCTATGTATTCTGGATAAGCATCTTGTCCTGTGTCCGTATGAGACTAGCCTTAGTTTTTCAAATTACATTTGGAAAACTTTGCCATCAAAGCCAGTGGGGCCTGTGTGCATGTGTGCATGTGTGTTTGGGAGCAGGGGAGGACGGTGTTCCGTAACGGCTTTCAGTACTTTCTTGTGGAGATATGAGTGCTCATATTTTCAATTTCTTGTGTCGCTTTTGGGAAATTGTGTTTCGTAAGGGATTTGTCAAGTGTATTCATGTGACGTTGTTCACCATATCTTCTTAGAACCTTTTAAACAGGTGCGCCTGAGTGGCTCAGTCATTAAGCGTCTGCCTTCAGCTCAGGTCATGGTCTCAGGGTCCTGGGATCGAGCCCCGCATCGGGCTCCCTGCTCCGCGGGAAGCCTGCTTCTCCCTCTCCCACT